TAATAATAACAATAATAATAATAATAATAATAATAATAATAAAGGATATAACAACTAAAACAAAGCACAATAAGTCATCACTGTAATTGAATTCAGTGAGTAGACTTAAATAATTGAAGAGATGACAAAAATAAGATCGATCGCAGGGCAGTAATTACGAACAAAATAAACATTTAAATACTTCAACAACTGAATGAATGGCTAACTGCCATATACATCGAGCAATAATTATCGTGTTACAATACATACAAGGAATAATTATTAAGGAGACCGATAATGGTATATGTATATTATATTAATCAGAATAAAAACACATACGAAAATGAAAATTATTTAGTGGTGATCCACACCAACAAAGTGCATCCAAGCACCCTCCGTAGCCCAAATTTGCATACGTACTAACAGCAGCACTCACGTAAGCGCAACTCAACGATCAAAAAATAATCATTATTGTATGATAATTAATAGAAATGTACTGATGTCGTTATCACCAATTCCACCATTAATCATCCTAACTACTTTATTGGGCAGCAACTTCGACTGGATACAAAGCGTATCACCATTTCATTACTGTCAAATCTAAACGTGAATCGGGAGAGGCTAATAAAGGAATGAACGAAATTGAAAGAGGTGACAGGATAGAATGATTAAACACTCCTAAACCATGAAAACACTTCGATATATCCATATCAGATCAATTTTCTCCATGCTCGTTTCACCGTAAAATTTATGAACAAACGCGCTAACGAATATAATATTGCATTACCTAATTGTCTCTATCAGTGCATCATAGCATCTGTCATTACTATTGCTTTTGCAATACAACAACTGAGAAGAAACATTTGAAGCTGACTTCAATTTGAATCATGATAATAAAATGATTATGCTAATATCACATCAAGACCATCATTTAACAATACAAGATTTCGTCAAATAAGAAAAGTTCGGTTACCATTCAGTGATCTAAACAAAACGACTGCCTTTATATTGATCCTAGGACGCGATATATTTATGAAGTAACAGAGATAATAGTACTGGTGGCAATAGTAATAATGACAGAAATAATAACAGCAACAACAAAACAGTTTCTTTAAAACAAAGACAAGACTATCTATAAAAGCGTCGTGCGTTACTAGTGCTAATCTACTTGACTGCACTCGCCGATCACTTCATCCTATCAACTAATCAAAACAAGATCTCATTCTCTTTTCCACACTCAACAAGCAAATCATTTGCAATTGCTGCATGAAAGAAACAAAATTATTTGGCTGAAATTTTTTGTGAAATTCTCGAAATGATCGCAACTGGAAGAAACATATATGGATGAATTCATACATGGATGAATATTGACGAAGTAAAGTACTTATGATGATGATGATAACAATAATAATAATAATAGTAATATTAACAAACAAACTCAAAACAATACAAAAAACGAGCAATATTTATAGGATTATACTATTGAATGTGCCCACATACATTTCAAATACAAATGATGGGAACAGCTTTAAGATGAAACGAAATGAATGTGAAATTGAATTGAAGATTGTAATACTTCACTGATAGATTGTCTGATAAAGAATAATCATTACTAAGTAATCGAGTAAATAATTAATTAGATATGAGTGGTGAATGATTGTAATGAGGTTGTTTTGATGAAACAACATCAACGCTAGATTATTTTGCTGAGTTGTTGCATTAGTAGATTATGAATATTAATTGACTGGGTGCATTATGTGAGAATTAGATATGCTGAATTACAGACAGATAGAGCTGGATTAGTTTGATCGATGAACCTGATCAAAAAAGAACATTGCTGGACCTGCAAGACGGATGTTGAAGAAGAATGGTGATGGCGATTCAATGAACTTTACAATCATCATATTTAGGTGGATTTGATAGAACCAACAAATGAAACACAGAAAAAATTGATTAGGGAACACAACTGCAAGATCGACATTCATATGCGTGAGACATTAAATATCATTCAGATTTACAGTACAGGATTGTGCTCGATTTTAATATTGGCATAATATGAGAGTGATATTTCAGTTTGAATGATAAAATATAGTAAAATCGACTGCTGAACGAAAACAGTTTCCTAAGTGAAACTGAACTGGAACAGAAATCATCAAGAGTAAAATAGCAACAAGCAAAATTGAATGAGTAAACTGTTATAACGACACCGGGTCGTGCGGTCTTTGGTCACCTAATAAATGCACGTAAAACACGTTACGGCGCACGTGACCGACCTCTTTTGAGAACATACTGAGGAAAATTTATGGAATAACAGATTGTGACGGTTGAATAAGAGAGAAATAAAGTCAAGGACAATGAATGACAATCACGCATATAATGCGCTTTCCATCGATTGTCCTCTGCATATAAGATAACGGAACAGGCAGATTAAATGAGAACACAATCAACAAACAATAACAGCATTATCAGCCATCGTATGTATAATGACAACTAAATGCGCTGTTATTATCTTATCTTATACAACCCAACAAATAAGCATATCATTACACAGTAATAATAATAATAACTACTTTTAAGGCGCCACCAGTGCGCCAGAATATCAAATTTCATCCAACTACAACAACAACAACAACAACAACAATAACAACAACACATACAATATTGATATAGATAACAATGATATTAACAATTCAACAAAACCAAACATATCACACAAAACACAGCAAGCCCTACGATTTTTACAAATGGAATAAATAGACAACCAAATCCAGAACCAACTTATAAATTTTGAATATGTTACTACCGCATTCGACGTTGTTAAGTTACATCATTTCAAAGCAATTTAATCTTAAATAATTGATGATACAGTAAAGTTATGTAGTTTAATTGTAAGAAAGTAGCAATTATGATGATCGCATGCGACCAACTAGTGAAAAGGATCAGTTAGAAAATGCAGGATGGAATTAGTATCCTAATGAAAGAAACGAGATAGGGGCAAACACGGGCTCACAACAGTCAATGATGTATATACAAAAACTCGAATCGCTGGTAGAAATACTGCCTACAAAATGGAAATATTGCAAAGATACGCAGATGGAATCGAAAGAAGCAATAAGACGACGGATTAACCAGTTGATGGATAGAAATCGCCTCTCAAAACCAAACAACATTAATAGAGCTAATAAAGAGAAGAATGATAAAGAAAAGAACAATCGATCGCGGATGAACATTTATATTTCAGAAACAATTCTTGAATGGTTTTACTAATATGAATAATTAGGTACGAAGTACATATACACTAATTAATATGTACCAGAAGTCGTCGCTTACCAAAATGTATCATCAACAACAAATACATCAACTGTAAACCATCGTTATTCACCTATCAAATGAGCTTCTTTTGAATGGGGACGACAATTTCATTTACGAACGAACGGACAAATAAGAATAGCAGTGTAACCGGGCTAGTGCATAAACAAATAACACAACAAAACCAACAAAACGCAAGTTGTTGCACAATGACGAAATGATAACTGATTACTGACTGACCAGACAAACTGATTGGGTGATTTGAGATGGAAGATGAAATTGGTAGTGATGAAGACTACATATAACTTTTGCTGATAAAACGAACTGACACCAAGGTCCGAATGCTTATGATACTGATCAGTGAATGAAGAGGAAGTAAAGTGGAGTTGAAGGAATATGATATAGGTAGATATATGATGCCGAACAATAAACACTGAATAAAGAATCAACGAAAACAATTCAACGAGTCGAATCAATCAATCGATGATGAATCGATCTAAGTCAGCAGTAAATCAATTGGATGCATAACGGTAGAGGTAAAGACGATAATCTTTACTTGCAACAACAACCGAACAGCCATCTTCTACCAATGCAACGTCGAAGCATTGTGCATGCTTCACCTTGCTTTCAAGTGCTGACAACATGTGACCATCCTAAATTGTTTCATTATTATCTTCAGCTATTGAATGAACAGATCAAAACAGACAAATAAAAGACTACCTGGCTGAAGACAGTAAGATTGAAGTTATTATGATTATCAGCAACAACCACTTCACCAGCTGAGTTAATACCCACTCCAATCGGATAGTTCGTAATTCCTTCACCACCAATTTGACGTACAAATTGACCATCGTAATTGAACACCTAACAAGCATATTTATTACTAAACAGATGAACTTAGGTTATCACCATTTACTCTTGATTTCATGTGATCGCTGAAGCATTAGACTGACGATAAGTTATGCGTATAAACGACTTATTAAGGTTCACACATTGGCACTGAAACTGATCCTTTCTGGCAAAAGTAGACAATGAATGAGACATCTGATAATGTATCAGCCGTTTCGTGACTAATCTAGCCGAGCAATGGTAGCATCAAATCAACAACCTTGATGCAATGCGCTCGATTATCTGATATAAGTATCTCTTGCTTATCGTTTGCGCATACACCATTCGGAAACTCCAAATATCGTGAACAACTGAACTTTTGCAGGATGTTACCGAGCATGTCGAATATTATAACACGCATCACCTGCAAGTATTAACATAGCATACAAACAAACAGCACAAAGAATGCTTGTGCATCGAATAATAACAATCACCTTGCATTCAACAACAATGATACGGCCTTTATGATCAACGCACACGCCACGAGGATGTTGTAGGATATTGGCACCGAATTTACGAACGAACTGACCATACTGATTATAAATTTGAATTTGATGAGTGGGAGAGCGTTCGGTTACGATGAAATCACCGGTTACGCGATTCACAGCCACACTGCAACTGATCACCCATCACAAACTCTGCTGCTATTGTCATAATTTGAAAGTTACAATCCTCAACTTGCAATCAAGTTTACAAACAAATTATCACATCTACGATAAAATAACCATTTTATAGTCTTTCACAGACAT